TGTGTAAAACATTGGTTACGCATAGTTCGCTAACTATTACAATGATCCTCTCTAGGTCTAAACGAGCAATAATTCGTATACGGATAGAGTTAAATGGTCAACCAATAACGGAGGACCACCACAGCCATTTAACTCTAACGTGTAAATCCCATTTACGCATCATTAAATATATTTGATAAACAGGAAATGTGTGTCTTTGAATTCCACATGATTCGAACGAATTATATACAACATTTTTTCTTTAGAATCTCGTTAAGCTGCGACAATTATAAATTAAGATTACGTTAAAATACAAATACAGCTGTGAAATAAGTTGAACTTTCATACTCTTATCTGCGTGGTGTATTAACGGAGGATATCTATTTTCCATTCAATACTAAATATAGATACGATACAGTTTCATTACGAATTTAAATAACACAATGATATGACAAGTCAGGAAAAGTAATAACTTAGTAAACAATCGGTGATTTTTTTTGTTAATCGAATTTCGAGGATGTAGATAAGAATATTTACAAAAATTACACGTTTTTGATGACAAAAAGATTACTCACGAATTTAACCTGAAAGTAATTATCTAATTTTAATAAATTCTGTTAAAATTCCTCTTTTCATATCCTGTTAGAACAGAATAAAAAGTGATAATTTTTATTTATAGTTTGCCCTTATAATTGCATACTTTAATCATGTGCTATTTTTTTGGCAAACAATGGTCCAGTTTTTTTTTGTGGGAGCAATAAATGTCATTAAAATGTGATGTGATTCTAGTGCATTCTGTAATAATTTGATAGTGTAATTATTTTCATAAGAATTCATATCGAAGTTAGGATATCGATTATCAATATATAGAATAAAAGCTCGCGATACATCGAATGAATTACCATAACAGCAAATTGGTACTAAACAAACGACAATCAATTAGAGGTGCTCAAATTAGAATACCAATTAACCGCAATACGTAAATTCTATTTGTGCGCTGATCAAGTTGGATTCCTCTAAACAATTAATGGGATTAATACAACTCAAATCCATCACCTCCTAGGCGCTTTTACAGAATTTTCTCAGGTTAGTCAAAGTTTTCTAGTTTGCTAGGAAGGATAATAAAACGAGGAGTAACCTACCAACTTGTAAAACATTGTCTACGCATCCACTTTCGAGTAACTTTAATCCCTTGCAAAAGGATAGGTTCTGGAGCTCGCCGGTGGCGGCGTTCACGGGGGGCACTCGCGACAAAGAAGAGTACATGCATATGTCTCGCTCGTTCCTCGGGAAGGACCAGTAGATGATCCGGCGCTGCACCGGCTCCGGGATCCGGTCGTACCGCTCCTCGATCCTCTGGAACGGGATGTTTTCGGCAACGATCCGCGCGGTCACATCAAGAAGCGTGTCCGGGCTGCGCACGGCCGCTTCCCTTAGGAGAAGCGGTCCGACGCCGACGCCACCACCACCGCCGCCGCCCGACGCCCGGGAACAACACAACCGCCTGGCAACGGCCATCGACGACGACGCACTCTCACTGACTGACTTCACCACTGGAGACGCGACGGCCGCCCGCGACTGCCGTCACGACGGAACCGGCGAACGGAAGGCGTAATGCGCACGCGTCCAACTCCCCACTTCCATACACAGCTGACGGGACCCCCGCGTGCGTAATGTCGTTTGTTTATGTCCGGACCCGTGACCACATGGCGTGGAGAGCGGGGGTGGGGGTGACCCACGGCCCCCCCGATGACGAGGGGAAGGTGGCACGCACATCGAAGACGACAACTATACACGTGACGCTCGAAACCAACGAGCTGTATATTATTCGGATCGACAACAATCTCAGCTGATTATTTGTTTATCTCTAAAAAAATATTAATATAATTTATAATAACTTAGATATAATCATACACCATTAGCCATACATCATTAGGTTCTCGCCGCGAGTTAGACCGCTGCATTTGCAAAACAAACAGATATGATTACGATTTCGAACCTTGCTGCTATTGATGCAGGGTTGTGAACAATTTTTTACTAGGTATAACTATACCAATTCGTATAACGACGAAGTTCTTGTAAGACATTTTACACCTTGTACGCTAAAACCCCTAAAAAAAATTTATCATCTTCGTTAATACATAAGCAGCAAATATATCTCATTTAAGTTACATCTATACAAGATTTATTGTCACAAGTGTAAAATGTTATGATTTTAAAATGCTTTTTTAGTGGACCACAAGGACCACATTTTGTTGCAAGCGATGTTGTTTGTTGAATAATTTGAAAACTACTCAACATTTTATTTGAGTACCATCATTTTATTGAAATTTGGACTTGTACAATTTGGCTAGTCACTTTCTAAAAATACAATGAGTAAGTGGCTTCCTCCAACTATAATCACAAAATCGGCCTTATGTTCGACGTTTTTCATAACTTTTGCGAGTGTTTCGGGCGTTATCTCGGCGATTGTATGTTGGCCTTAAGTTGTTCAAGAGTGTCTGGCTTGTTGACATAAACCTTGTTCTTAAGGTATGTCCACAGGAAAAAGTCAGGAGGCGGTAAATCAGGCGAACGCGCTGACCAGTCGTAATCGCCACTTTTCGATATCAACCGATTTGGAAACATGGTACGCAGCAAATCCATTGTTAATCGAGCAGTTGCATCATCTTGTTGGAACCAATGTGCAAATCCAACTTTAAAATTCGCCACATCATCATCGTACAAAGGTCAAACTGCTGACCTGGACCCCGAACGGACACTTGATGAAGCTCTTGAATATCGACACTTACAGCAGATATAGCGTTATCATTACGGCGAATACGGATCTTGACTTTGGATTAGAATTTCACAATTTCTGCATGTTTTTTAGGTGTGTAGCAAATCATGGTTAAAATTGTATTACAATGACCTTTCTAATGCGCCATCAAACATGGCGATTTGACAGCTGGTTGTCAAGTTATTCAAAAGAAACATCGGTTACAACAAAATGGCACACCTGTTACTAGCAGATGAAATTTGTTATGCAGGAATTTTCATCAAATGTTTGGTGTTGTCTTTTAGATGTCACATGGCATCGTTCTTTTTATCAACAAGACTTACAGACTTTCTAATATTCTCGGTGTGGTATGTACAGTGGAAACATTAAGATAAGTTTTTTAGGTGAGTTAGGTTTTTTTTTTTTGATAATTTACTGAAAATCATACCCACTACATCACAGTAAATAGGAACAGATATTTGTCACTAATAATAGGCCAAAAAATGATTTAGTTTCAAAACTTACCATATCCACATAAGTATTTTGATTTTCATAAGTAAACCTCTTCTCATCAATGCGTTCAAACAATCTGGAACCAGTCAATATCTACGCCATCATTTCGAAGTGGTTAATCTATAAAGAGGCATTATTGTATTTTAAATAGTAAGAGAAACTGTTTTATACAAATGTTGAAAATATTTCTGATAAGAATCCTAGAAAACTGAAGGCCAGGGCTGGGCTTTACAACTACTTACTACGATGAAAATGCCAGATCAACACTAACTGTAAGTATTGAATGCTTCGAGCAACTAACAGAACGGCAACATTTGAACAGAAAATTCATGTGTTTTGTGTAGCAAAGATTCCACATCCTTAGTTTTCCATTAACGCCAACTCCGTGCTGTGTAAAGGAGCCTTCCAATTAGCACAAAGAATATTATTATTGTTGTTAGTACAACCACGGTGATTTGTAAATTATAATAGAACGATCTGCTCTCATTTCACACTTAACCTATTCATTACCCAGATTACAGTTGCAGTCTTAATACAGCATTTTTCTTGCAAAATCGAATATTCAGATAAAGTCAAAATCGTAAAGAAACATTTTATTTCAGTTGACTCCACAAAAGTAAGAGTTCTTTTGCGATTTTATCAGGCTCAACCTCATAAGTTGCTATTAGTACTGAAGCCCACCACTCCAGTAGTTGTTAACTTGATAAGCTATCTGCCAGGTTATACTTACATATTATATATATGAAGTGACGCAGAAAGGCAACTAATTTGAGCAGAAACCTTGCATACGCTTGAACCATATAATTCACATAAGCAAAATGAACATATACGTGAGCTGTTTATAAGAGAAAGTGAAGAAGAGATATTTTTGTACGCAGAATTATAACGATTTGTGGAAATTTGGAATAACAAATCAAACTTTTCTTGTTTTAAACCATGTTGAAATCCCAATAAAGTTGAACGTAGACATCACATGACTACAGGATGTATATAAATTAATAAATTTCAATACTAATGACACGTTGGATATTTTTTTACAATTTTTTCGATCTATAAAATATTTATCTTCTTGGAGATGTAAAGTGAGGCGTCGGGACGTTGGCATACCTCCCATAGTCAGTTGGGGCCAGATCGCAAGTTCGCGCTGATGTCGCGCCGGCCAATAGGGCTGACGCCGGCGTAATTGCCGCGGCATTGATTGGCAATAGTCGCGCGGGATGACGCGCGATCGATAGGCGGCCGGCGTCGGATGCCGTGAGAGGGCGTCGCGCCGCCTGTCGCACCCCCACCGGAGGGCCCCACACGACGAAATTATGCAAAGTTTATCACTTATTGTTAATCGATACAGGACCGGGTTCTGACCGAGATGAATGCAATAGGGCACGATCGTCTTAAGACGGGTGAGAGATGCGGAAGGGGTTTCAATGGTGGGAGGGAGGGGGTGGAAGAGGAATGGTCAGCGCCCCCGTACTATGATTGCGGCTCGCCCTGTAAATACACTTATTTGTCCAATACATCAAGCCAGGGCTACTCCCCTTCGATGTTCAGGTTTGTATTGAGAGGAATAGTTAGAAGAGGAGGGGGTCGGAGAAGTGGGGAGAGAGAGACAGAGACGTACTGGTTGTTTTTGCTGTTGGGAGAGGTTCATTGAAATTGAAAACGTTATTTCTTCGTGAAGGGAAGTTAAATAAAATTAAGGGTTGGAAGTAGAAAGAAAATTTTAAATCGAAACAGAATTATACAAGAAATATTTCCAATTACAAAAAGAATTTTATTACAATTTTTATATCGTATAATAATGTAACCTTACTCTATCTTTATTTTCTATGATAAATCGATGGATAAAAAACGATACTGTGAAATCTAACCCTTAGAATAACACCCACAAATTCGAACCTATTTTTTGCTATCAAACAAAACCAGGCGGAGACCTAAAGGGAACGGAATTGAACAGAAATACAAAAAAAAATTAGGAGGAACAGAATATCGGAAGCGCGTAGGTAGAAGGAGAATGGAATTGCAGAGTGGTCGGGTTCGACGCAAAACAACCCGGACCGTTCGTCGCGGACCGTTTTTCCTTCTTCCTTCTGCGTTTCCCACAAGAAGTGCCGTTAGGGCAACCCGCACTGGCCCGTAGTTTCATGTTGTCCTTTTTACGCCACTACCACCACGGCCGCCGTCCTTCTTCGTTTCGATGCTTTTTCAACATACCAGTCTATAGGAAATGTAACGTCCGGCTGTCTCTGATGGTCTTATGATCTTAACCACCTGCAACACGACCGGAAAGGGGCATTTTAATAGACCACTAAAGAACCCGCATGTCTTCCATCCACTTTAATACTAACTTTATTTAATCAGCTACTACTGCATTTTTAATTTTTTAACCGTTGGAAAGAAATAAATTAAATAAATATTTATTCAAACACCTACAACATCTAGTATTTATAAAGCACATGGATTGAACGAATTTTAATACAAAAAAAATATAGGTTTAACTGCTGTTTGTACATCTGCTGGCGGCCACTTATTACTTAACTATTTCAGCGAATTAAACCCGGCCACCTGAAAATTTTTAACCGCTCCGATCGGCAAGTGCGCATATACGGGTTAGAGCAACGAACTAATGTGAAAAACATCCCGTATGCGCCAACAAACCGTTACCACCACCGGCGACATATCACGAAACCTGATGTGATACCAAATTAAAATATCCATCTGCACCAATAATATATGCAATCCTTTTCTTTATGATGGGATTTAAATTTTAAAAACTACTCATTTATTATATTTCTACTATTGATCAAAAAATAAAAGCTTATGACCCTTGTGCCCTTATATTACAATAATAGGACGTAAATCAAGTGAAATTAATATTATTGTCTAGGTGGCAAAAAAAAACCCATATGGAATATTTAATTTCAGATCTAGAATTAATTTTCAATTGACTTTTGAATGTACCCATACAACATTTATTAAAAATTGTCAATTTAAATACACCAATAATGATGATGGAATAAAACCATGTAAGTGTTGAGTGCAAATTAAAACCTACCTGTCCTCGTTTTAATCCAAAATATCTTGCAACGGGGTCACCTGCTTGAATTCTCATTAACATGTTTTCTTTTAATTTACTAAAAAAATAGTTTAGGAAAATACAAAATTTAACTTATTTCAATCAATAAGTTTTTAAGGATACTATCTAGCAAGTAGTTCTTGTTTTTCTTCCGGAGTCATAACAACGTGTTCTGGTACAAGTTCATGTTCGGTAATGTTAATTAACAACTCGGATTCTAAAAATTGTTCCAAAATATACTTAGGAGCCATATCTACTAACGATTGCTTAGCGGAAGGAGTCATTCCAGTTTGAACAACGATAATCGCTCGATGAATATTTTGTTCTTGCATCCTTTGACAATACATTTTTATAATTTTTATTCCAATTTTTGGATCATCAGGAAAGAAAACAAACATCTGGTCCGTAGGATCATCATTATGCGCCACCAATACAGTTAAATCCGTTCGCGATGGTTTCTTTTCACTAAAATGGGTAAGTTGAGGTTAGGTTCACTCCAGTTACAAAATATTTGGATTCTTACCTTGGTTTATCACCGAATTGTTCTTTAAACTGTTCCAGAGTTTGGTCCAATTCTTCTTGGGTCACCAAATAACCCCGATCGTGGCATAACTAATGATTAAAGAAATAAAATTAGAATGTTATGATTTTGAGGTTAGGTCAACTTACTTGCATTACTGTTTTACGAATGCGCCATAATTTGTAAGTTTCCGCTTCGTCATCCATTGGGGTGTTTTAAAAGATTTATTATTATTATAATTAATACGAAGAGATTGTTAAAATTATTGAAAAATAAAATTGTGGTTTTATTATTTTACAGAAACACGCGCCGTCACACGGAAATATGACTAACTTCACATTTGTATACAAACTACCAACGTTTTAAGTTTATTATTATTAAGATTTTATTTTTTACTTACTCCTCTATATATATATAATTATTACATTTCATTAATGATAATTTCCTTATTTAGAATAATAAATATTTGTTATTGGTCCAAATAACAAACACACTATAGTTAGTGACCAACTTCACGTTTATTTACATGTTATCTTAATTTGAAATTTAAAGTGTCACATTTTATTTTTACATCAATTATTTAATGTTTCTGATTTTTTTTCAAAAATATTATAAATGGAAGATTTGCCGTGTCCTTATTTGATAAACTGTTTGGGGAACGAAATTCCAACGAAAAAAGCATTACAGAATAAAGATGTGGTCGCGTTTTACTTTTCCGCATCGTTTTGTGTAGAATGCGATTCGTCTCTTACAAAATTACGTCTTTTACAAGAAGTCAATACGCGTTTAGAATTTACAATTTCCTTTTTAAAAACTGAAATAATTTTTAGGCTATTAAACGTCATCGGAGATGTGGAATAATAATCATTTATATTTCTTTTGACACCGATGAAGCGGAAATGCTGAAACACTTTAAAACTCATCATCACGGTTGGTTTGTTGTACCGTTAAAAGAACCAACAATAAAGTAAGTCAAAAATGTTTAAGACGTTTAGATTAAAGAATACGTTTTATTGTAGGTTGCTTCAGTTAAAGTATACAATTTCTTTTATTCCTCAAATTGTTGTTGTAAAAGTTGATGGAACTATTGTTACTCGAGATGGAATGAAAGACTTGGAAGAACATGGTAATAATGTTATAATAAGATGGTCGGAACCGGATATAACGTAATTTTTTTATTTTTGATCTTTGAAGTTTTCTTATCTTTACCAAAACAGAAATAAATTTAAATATTTGATGTTTTCTTTTCTTGATTTCTTTCATTCTTCTTCACTTGAAGTGTCTTCATTGGATTGTTCAATATCTTGCCAATCATTGTTACAATGTGGACATTTTTCTTGTCGTGAAAAATTATTTAAACAGTAACCATGTATTGTAACTTTACAACTAGCGCAACTTCTTCCCTAAAAATAATAATTTTAAATCATTTCAACATTTATTATTTTCCTGATATGTAAATACGAGGTTTTCATCTTTCGGTTGCCATGTTACAATCGTTTTCAGAAACAGGATTAAAGGTAAGAAAAATCAAGAGTAAAATAAGAGTATTTAACACATTCAAACCACCAAGTCTAATTTGGCATTGCCGAAAAGAAAACTATAGTATAAAAAAAAGCTGATATAATCATTTTGCCTGCAGACAAAGATAATGTCACACTGGATACAGACATCTACAGGAACATCACGGATAGATTACTTAGGAGAGAGGAAAGAAATACTGCACTTGATGAAGGATTCCAATTTTGTTACTTTTGAACTTTGTTACTGAAGAAGATTGCAACATGGCACTAGTTTCATTTTTACTATTTTTAATAAATGTATTAAATGTTTTACAGATGCTTGAGATATACTCCAATAAATTGGTTAATAGTAGAAGATACACCAAATGTAATAGAAGAGGATGATACTAGTTCAACACTTAATGATATTCAAGAATTTGGAGAAAGCAATGAATTTGTTACTTATGGGGAAACTGATACCGATATTAAAAATACTACTGCTGATGAAAAAACGGTAACAATGGACTCAATCAATGCTTAATATAAATAACTGTATATTTAATAAATCTAATAAATGTATATGACTTTAGGCGTATCAGACCCAACCTGTTAAACAATTCGACTAACATTATTTCTATGACAAATTCTTTTCCACACAGGGTCTGGCAGTCAAACTGTACTGGTATGTACTGTACTGTATTCCAGGCAGAAGTATTTGCTATTGACATGGATGCTAAAATCCTTCTTGAGAGAGGGGTGAAGAACATGGCAGTACGATTTTTTTTAAATAGTCAAGCCGCTCTCCAGGCCGTGAAAACGGCGTCGGCTATAGTTAATGACTGTAAAAGAACTTTAAACACACTGAGTTTTGATAAAAGAGTCCTCATCTGGGTCCCAGGTCGCTCTAGGGTTGAAGCCTTTGTGGGGCCAGAACTAACAGTTGGTAGTTGGAATGTGGGCTGAAGAGAAACTTCGCTTACTGTGGACCAGTTCTCCTGGAATGAGACACGCTAAGTTGTTTATCAACATCGCCACTGTCAAAAGGGAATATTTTAGGACTAGCTCGAAGCGGTATTAAAGTTCTAATGGGTGTCTTTAAGTGCCGATTAAAGACGCACCTCAACTTGTTAGTACTTAATACTTGTTGGTATTAATGTTCCTTAAGAGCGGTGAAATTTGATAATGTTATCTATTGGTGTACAATAGATATTTGAGGTCGCGGTGTAAGGTTGGTTGGTTTGCCTACCCGATATACAGAGTGACTCAGGAAGAATTTAAGCTAACATCTCTTATACGGTAGTTTTCGAGGCACAGGGTGTTGAAAATTAAATACTTATTTCGAAATTTCTTGATAATTTTGAAGGTTTTTGTACTATTAACATAAAATTTGGTAGTTTTACGTTTTCAAGCATGAGAAATACGAACTTGAAACTTGTTTTGTGATTGCTCATAGAGGGCGCTAGATACACACTGCTCCTTTGATAAATCAAATCATAACTATTTTGTCAGTTGAGATATGGTGAATTAGAACCAGAAATCTGAAGGACAATTCTACACAAAATAAGGTAGTCTTGCTTAAATTGTCTAAGTCTACTGGTTTCCAAGTTATCTGTTTTTAATTGTTTCAAAGAAGACAATTTGACTGTATAATTTGCCCACCCTGCATAATTTATGTAATGTAAAGCACTATTTAAAACTATAAAAAAACATTTACTGGAAATAAAGGAAGAGACCATAAATGGTTCGCTCAAGAAACAATTTATAAAAGAATTTGTAAACCTGTTGATTGTAAACCAACTTCTTATTCCATTTACACAAAATTTTTTTATTCTCACCTTCACCACTAATTCTGAACACAATTCACATCGTTTCACATAATTCTCACAATACTTCCAGAAAAATGGAGCAAATTCACTTAAACACCTCACTCCTAAATAAACCATATCATCATTTAAAACAAAATAACCTAGATTTTTCCATTTCTCTAATAAAACTTCAGCATCAGTGATGGAAATTTTAACAGGTAATGTTGAAGAATAATTCAAACATTGATTAATTAGTAATTGTTTGGATTTAGAACAAAAAATTTTTTTTACTATCATCTCAAAGTATTTTAATTCGATTGGTTTAAAACCCTTTTGCATTCTGCTAATATCATCGTTGGCCATATCGTTCAATACCACATAAGATATTCCAGTTATTTCACAATTTATAACTGAAATGTGCATGCTGTACGTTCCTATTCGTTCGTTTATGGTTTGAATAAAACATTTTAAACCTTTTTCGTTTTTAATGGAATCTAGAAACACTTTGATTAAAAAAGAAATAAAAAATTTATAACCTGAAAATACCAATATCGAAATTTTTACAAATTTCTAAAGCCCTACTTGTTTGTAAACAACCCTCTTTAATAACGTAAGAGAGAAATCTTTGATGATCTAATCCATAACGGGTTGCTTCCATGATTTGGATTATCAAGAAATGTTTTATACAATAACATCAACACAAATTAAGGTTATGTAAATAATGTGAAGTTAGGTATCATTAATTAAATTTGTTATTTTTAATAGAAATTAATTTTAATACTTTATATCAAATTACTTTTTAATTCTTTAATTTTAATTATTTATAAAAATACATTTAAATAGAAAAAACAGATATATAAAGTTTAGTTACTTTTATTTTATTACTAAAAATGTCATCAAAAAACTCCAAACCGTACGAATTTCACGTCCTTTCAAGTTCACGACTGTTTAGCAGCGTGATTAAAAATAATATTTATCCGTATTCATCGGGTAATATATCGCTTATAAACAGCGTTAATTTATTAAAAACGCCTTAAATATGCCGCCAAAGTTCGATCCTACAGAAGTTAAATTCGGTAAGTGCTTAAATCGTGTTTTAAATCGATTCTAACCTAACATTGTTTTCGTGTTTAGTTTACCTTCGTTGTGTCGGTGGTGAAGTCGGTGCTACATCGTCTTTGGCCCCAAAAATCGGTCCATTAGGTCTCGTGAGTATTCATTTTTCAACTAAAATTATAATAAATCGTCCAAAAATGTTGTTATAAAATTTTGAGGTTAAGGTTTAATTGTTGCCTTTTTTTAGTCTCCAAAAAAAATTGGTGATGATATCGCTAAAGGAACCGCTGATTGGAAAGGGCTTAAAATCACTGTTCAATTAAAAATTCAAAACAGACAAGCCACAATTTCTGTTGTACCGTCTGCGGCTTCCTTAATTATTAAAGCTTTGAAGGAACCACCACGAGATAGAAAGAAGCAAAAAAATAGTGAGTTTAGTTTATACATTATTTATATTTGCAATAAGACCTAGATTTTTGGATAAAATGATTTAGTTTGTTATTCAAACATGTCTTGTTGCTAAAAAATGCCTTCTTTTATTGCAACTCATGCCTACGAAATACTAGGTGTGTTACTCAGAAAGAAGTACAGTTATTTTTTTATTCGTTTTAGAAAGGATTTTTAATTTCAAATTATTTTTGTTTTTAGTTAAACACAGTGGAAATGTTACTATGGAAGATATAATTGCAATTGCTAAGCAAATGAGACCACGTTCCATGGCGAGATCATTAAGTGGAACTTGCAAAGAAGTTTTAGGTACTGCTCAATCTGTTGGTTGTACCATTGATGGTAAAAATCCACATGACGTTATAGATGAAATTAATGAGGGTACTATTGAAGTACCTAATGAATAAGTTTTTTTGGAAATAAATTTTTAAGTTCTATATGTATTTATTATTTGTTTGTTTATATTCCTTATCACATCTTTTGGGGATTGATATTGGTAGTGAGGCAGAATGAAAGAAAATTTTTCGTTTTTGTTGGATATTTATTTCCTATTATACAGTTTAGCCATCTTAAGAGACGCACAGCTAATCCTGAGTGTTTCTAGATCTAGATCCTTCCATATTTCTAGTTTTGTGCTACTCTTGTCTTCAATAAAATTAATAAACAACATGAATAAAATGCATAATTACTTTACATTAATTGTACAGAGGTTATACCCCAAACTTTACCCTCCTAAGAGGGGGTGTCATCCCTGCTTAGGGGGATGACACACCCCAGTGATACATCATTTTATAGGTCTTGTTTTTATTAATACAACACAAAAAAAATTTGTTAGAACGATTTATTTTCGAAATATCCCACCTCTCAATTTTCACTAAACATAATATGTATATTTCTAATAAGAAAAATTAAAAATAAACATTTTATTCATTAAGAAAACAAATTCTTAAACCTTAAGAAAAGGCTTACTTAACCCAAGTTAGCACCACTAATATCCATACAAGTTTAAGTGTATAAATTTTGTTCAAATTTTTGCCTAACATTTTCCAGCATTTCAGGAGTTATTATCCTGCATTTATCAATAATGCGCTGGGATAACTCTTCCTCCATAAAAAAATTTAAAGGGGAGAGGTCTGGAGATCTGGCTGGCCACATTTACAGCACCTCTTCGACCTATCCATTGACTGGGAAAGTTTCTATGTAAGAACTCCCTAATTGCAACGGCATAATGCGGTAGAGCGCCATCTTGCTGGAAAAATATATGTTCCGAGTATCTTTCATCGTTCTCAACAATGTCAATTAAGGTAACGTACACCAAGTCTTCAAATATTTGAAGATACCGTTCTCCTGTCAAATTACCGTCTATAAAGATTGGTCCAATGATGCGATCTCCAAAAATACTCGTAAAAACATAAGTTTTTGTGGAGTTTGAGTAAAAATGAAAAATGTGAGGGTTTTCATCTGACCAGCATATAGGCAGTATTCAATATCATAGGCAATACAATTTGGTAATCATCGGTAGTGATCCCATCAAATCTGACAGTACTGATAGCACAATATCAGTGCTTATAGTGTCTTCTACAGCCTGCATTGGTAGGACATGTCAGAGCAGAAGGTTGTCTAATACTTGTAGCTTTAATTAAGTTTAAGTCTTTATTTTATAGATATAATAGATTACAAAATAATAACAAATTTTCATTAAATTTATAACTTAACTAATTTTTATAATAACTTGAAATCTACAGCAATAATTTTTTAGTCTTAAATTTACATCAAAATAAAAAAAGCACAAACAAGACAGTTGTTAGTTTTTTATGATGAATTATGCAATACTTTATTAAAAGCACTGTAAGAAGATTCTAAATCGAATAAAAGCTGTCTAACTTGGCTTTCTGATAATTCATCAGAAGCAGACATATTATTTAAAGTGTTTAACCACTCTGCAACTTTTTGCTTTCCCTCAAATTCTGCAGGGAGGATACTCAATCTATTCATTGTATCCACTAAATCTCTCAATTCTGGGTGAAGATCGTCCATAGCACGCATTTCCAATTTTAATTTATCCATTAATGTTATAAATAATGAAACTATATCTGCTATACATTTACTGGTGTTTCCTTTATCATCTTTTATTGTTATTGGACGATCTTCTTTAATTCGTTCCAAAGCAGCCGGACAATCCAACTACAATAATAAAAGTAAATATATTTTGCTTTTATTTATAGCTTAATTAATACTAACTCTGTATTTGCGCACAAACGCGTCTACATTAGGAAATTCATCGCCTTTAACCTGTCTGAAGGCTGCTTTATATTGCACCAGTAATTTACTGCAAGCTCCTGTATATTCTTTTGGTGTAACACAATCTCTAATGTAAGCTTTTTCCAATTGTTGAAGCGTATTAATAACGGCGTACAAATCGGCTAAGTTATCGAATTTTTCTCGTTCACGAGCGTTTTGATACAACTTAACTTCTTCATAGAGTTCAGGTCGATTATCTACAAAAACACAATAATGAAATCTTCTTCGTATTAACCTTCGATTATAAAGTTGAACTAACCTTGATTTATAGACATTGTGTTTTAAAAATTAGAAATGTAATTGTAAAATATGTTGATGACAAATAACTTTGTGATTAATGCGGATTAATGTCAAAATGACAGTTGGTTAGTTCGAATAAAATTTAAGAGATGTCGCTGTTAAATGAAAAATAATAAAAAATACAAAAAATTCTAATTTGTTTAAACTAAATTAATTAGAATTAAAACTTACCTTTTATTTTGTTTTTGAATTTGTTGTTTATAAAAGATTTTGATTACAGCGGCGGAATGTGTTAAAGATAATAAGCAAAGAATTAGTGCGATTAAAAAAAATATGAAAATAGTAAAAACACTACAAGATTTTACAACTTTTTTTAACATGTTGTGTTTAATTCACTTTCTATCAGGTTTGTGAGTAACCCGCAATTGATATCGGTATCTTTGGGATTACTAATAATCCCTGTTTAGGTTGGAAAATTTGATTGTAATGTGACATTAAAAGTCGATTTTCGAAGTAAAAAATACGATATATTTGATAAAAACTAAAAATTAATATGTACATGTATTAAATTAATGTTGGAGAAAGTATTTAAAAACACTACACAGTGTGATTAAATACTTATTTTACGTATGGAAGGAGAAGATTAATTTGAGTACATTTCTAATCCTCCACATACGTAGTGGTACTTAATTAGTTTTGCTTAATTAATTATAAAAAATCCTTAAAAACTAGAATACTAAATAAATAAGATTAAATTAAATGTTACTTTTTAAATATATCACTGAAATATGTCTTAATTTTTTTTTAATAACTAATAAATAATTGCACTCAAAAAGTCATTTTTATCTTTAAATCTTCACTTTTAATTAATTCTTCCCTTATGGGTCATATAACTTTCAAATTGGTTAGTGCTTAAAACTTTATCGATACTTATCCTCCTCATTTTCGTACAAGTAGCCAATAATGCTCCACCTAAAAGGCACATCGCACCACCTCCTAATGCTAAAAGCGCTGAAAACCAACCAGTTTTCATGCAAACTGTGTTATAAGTTTCTAATGGTGCAGCAACTAAAATTAGAAATTAATAAATTTATTATTAAAAAAAAATGTTTTTAATTTACCTGTTGGTTGTGGTGTTGCAGAATCTTCTTCAACTTCACCTTCTTGTAAAACTCGTAGTGATTGGAAAAGATTGATATTTTCAGAAAGAGTGTTGTTTGTCGAGGAATTTTTTGGTGGTTCAATAGAACGTTTTTTAACACCTTTTAAGTTTCTCCAATGACAAGGTTGAGTCTAAAAATAATCCAAAATTAAATAACTTCGTTTTTACAAAAATTTTTGATTTTAAACCATACCGGACATCTTCCGTGGCACATTCTAACATCGCATTCGATATAAAGAGCCGGAGAACCGGTAAATCTGAACGTTTTCATGTAAGCGAAAACTTGGGTTTCAAAAACTCCAGTTTCTGACCAAGAACCGCGAAATCTTGATATTAATTTATCATCGACTGGGCATCTAAATTGAATGGAATATTTTTATGATACATTATTTAAATTAGGGAAAGATAATTTACCCATATTCGTCAATTAATTGGATTTTCTTTGTTGCTCCGTTATGAGCAAAACAATCATTTACAACAATATCAAAACCATCTGTAAAAAGATTTTATTATAAATATTTAAAAAATTAATTTTTGTACTATTATCTAGTGTGTTGGTTTGATTGATTGGAACTCAAATAATTCTTTTTTATATGTTGATTTCATTCTGGTGATTATTGGTCATGGGATTAACGTAAGTTTTACCAAAAAGTTTAGTGTCTAACACAGCGTGAAGAGAATTTGTGGTTTGAAATCAACAGTTAAAGCCACTTCACTGGCTTAATTAAGGTCTATATGATGAGTTAACATTTCGTCCATTATAGATTTCTATTCCCCTATCCCAGTATGTTTATGTTATAGGAGCAAAAATGATATTTTAGTCTTTATTTTAGAAAAAAAGTTTTAATCAAAAGCATATTTACCATATTTACTCCTCATATAAATAATTAACGTTAGAGGATCTCCTACACGAACTGGACCAGTAACTCGGTTTCCAGTTGTTCCATATCCATAGCGGATTTCCATGTAACATTCAGGTGGGGTTAATGTAAAAACAACTGGATTTCCAGTAGCCACCCTAAAAAAACAATTTGTATTAAAACTTTGAACCGACAAAAAATAGTATGCAAAAAATAAATTTTGAATTATTTCATTCTATAACGAAATTACTTTTTATTCTCTTTAAAAAGAAGCATATTTTTTTCAAAGCACAAAAATTAAATATATAAAAAATAACATACTCAACATCTAAGAACGGAAAAGTTACAGTTTTCCAAAAATCGTATCCATATTCACAAGTAACTTTAAAATGTTCATCGAATTCCTCTTCAATTAATGGGTTGTATTGAACGGTGATGGTATTCCACATAAAATTCTTCTAAGAAATTTTTATATTAATAAATAGAAATAAAATTTAAACATAATAGTTATTTATGTATTAAGGGCGTAATGAAGGCGTTTGTGACCCGTGGCGTAATTAAGGTAGATTCAATTTAAACATAAACAAAGGTAGTAGTTGTTTATTGTTAATTTAGTGCGTGTTCATTTTTTGTAGTGAAAAACTCTAGGAAAATGGAAATAACAGAGGTATTTTCTGTTGACGACGAAGAAGAAGTATCTAAGAACCTTCTATCCAAAAGTCTTCTTCTACCCAAACAAGTATGGAAAAGAATACAGAAATTTTATGGACTGGTCTCAAACTAACAATAAGAAAATCATAGGCAAGTGTTCCGAAGATGCTCTGCTTTCGGAAATTCCTAGAATATATTCCGAGACATTAGTCGAGGGCTATAACACGCTAAAAAATCACCGGTAAGTGTTCAGAAGATGTTCTTCTTGCCTATTTTTTGAAACAATCAGAAAAATATTCAGCAGCTTCTCTGTGGACATTTTGAAAATATTGGAAATTGCCAGAATTAGGGTTCGAGATGTCAATCAAGGACTATAAACACGCTAAAAAAAATAACCGGTAAGTGTTCAGAAGATTTTAGTAGTTATTTAATAAATATTTAATAAATCATTCAAAATATTCATTAAAAACTTTTACAATGTTAAAGCTGCAATATACTGAATAATGCCCTAAAAACTAATCCATAAGTAGGCAAAAATCACCCGACCGACATAAATAAATAAAAAGAAATAACAATAAAAAAGGAATTAATTTAAAAAAAATAAAAATTTCGCCCGAGCAGGGACTTGAACCCTGGACCCTTGGATTAAAAGTCCAATGCTCTACCGACTGAGCTACCCGGGCTTATATTCTACCACAGCACACTAGTTAAAACTAATCTTACCGTAGGATTTTTCCGACTATCTTCCTGATGAGAGTTTTTCCCTAAAGTTCCACATCGATTTAATTGGATGTAAAATTCGTAATAGTCTCTTCCGGTGCCATTTATATACATACAATCAGGATCATATGCGTAACCTTAAAAGAAATTAGCTAATAAATTTTGTTTTAAATATTAACAAACAGTGTTACCAGCCGAATAAACAAGGCCAGTAAAAGAGCCATTAAACCCGATTCGTATCTTCATATAATCGTCCTGACATTCAGCTTCTATGTCTACAATGGTAAAATAAAAAGAAATCTTTAATGCAATATCACGATTAGAAATCATTAAGATTTCGATTTTCCGTTTTGAAGATTTCCAAAAAAAAAAAACAACAACAATGCTCGTCATTAAACCAGACGCAATAAACGTCCATCGGTGAACAGAACAATACTATTTTTCGCTTTTAATAAGTGGGCCATCTCATCACATCTTGGTAACGATTTCGCAGGTGACCGGAAGGTTGCGACGTTGTGCAACATCAAAAGACCGGATGGACGGACGAACGGATGGACTTGCGCCAACCTATGGCCTTCTTTTCTGTATTTTTTAAACGCCACGAACTGTGGCAAGGTGAAATAGGAATTTCAAGTATTTTTCTTTTTTCACTAATCAAGGCAACTCGATTTCAACAATAAAAATAATTAGACTTACGTTGTACTTTAGTTGTATTAAATCGAAACCGTCTATATTCTCTATCCCACGTATCTACCGGAAGTCTCCAATCTAAATCATCATCTACTTGAGGTGGTGGTCTTGATCTTAAAGCAGGCAAATATCCTCCGGTATCCCCGATAAAAATAACCTGTTAAAAATCATAAATAAATGAGAAAAAAATATTTTAAATGTTAATTTTTTTTATTTATTTATTTTTTGTTTAAATTGATTTTTTTTTGAGCATGAAATCGTAAGCCTGTTTAGCTCAGTGGCAGAGCACTGGTCTTGTAAACCAGGGGTCGTGAGTTCAATCCTCACAAGAGGCAATTTTTTTTTGCAATTGATATTAAATCTATTAAAGAGAATTATATAAAAAGGAAATTAAGACAGTTCTGATATCTTTTTGTATTTTGTATGAGCAAAAGTGGCGTGATCTCTTCCATAAGATGAGCTTTCATCAACATTTGCAGGACAGTGACTACTCATTATGGAAAGTGACACGTAAAATAAAAGGACCAATCTCACAAATCTCGCCCATTTAAGATCTTAGTTGAGCGTGAGTCAGAGGAGATATGCAAAAACTGGAAGCATTTGCTAAACACCAAACAAACAAACGATGAGTATCGATTTAGTACCACCACGAAATTCACACCAACTTATGAATAAGGCTCCTGATTATGATCTTATCACAGGCGAAGTATTCAAACAACTTCCTCAAAATGGCATCGCGATACTAACGTATTTATGCAACGCAGCAATTAGACTCAGACATGTGCTAGATTACTGGAAAATAGCAGAGTCAAGTTTATCGTATTGGTATAATCCATTTATTACTGGAGTGGTTTTTGTAACCTACATGCAGTACAATGTACCTGTCATGTTTTTAATTTATATCTTCCTTCGAATATTTTAAATGTAAGATAATGCTCCAAAAGTTTTATGCTGGTGGCGGAGAACGCGTATGATGACTAAAAGTTACCAGTAATTAATAAAACAGCAAAAAGGTGAATCTGATAAAAGCAACAACAAAAAGATGCAAGTTTATGATCGATGATAAAATCATACACCAGGAAATGAACTTTAAATACCTGGGCATCGAAATATCTGGAAGTTAAGAAACTTAACTTATGCAGCAGAATTCCGGCCCGAGACATCCAAAGCAAAAAGAATGCTAGAGACTGCAGAAAATGAAAATAGTGTCTAAATAGATGAAAAAGCTCTGATGGATAGAGGAGGAAGTGAGAAGGTCAGCCAAATATGCAGGAAAGATAATTAATGACTGGGTATTAAACAGAGAGAAAAAATGGGATTAGCTCATCGATCATATGATAGTGAAACGAATTAATGAGAGACAAATGATCATTAGGACGAAGGAGCATCGGGAGATCTAGAGAAAGGTGGAACGATAACTAATATGTGGAAAAATGTAATGAAAAACTGGCGATTATGCCTAAATACTTTAAGAGGATACTTTAAGGAAGAACAAGTAGAGGCAGGATAAACGTCGTAAATCAGTGAATTAAATTTTGAAAAATTTCAGCTCCAAGATCTTCTCTTAAATAAAAATTGTTGAATTATATTCCTCTCCTTTTTCTTTTCTTTCTATTTTTACAGGCATAACTTTCGAATAGATATGCATGATAAAAGTGGCCTTGAAGAATCAGACCGAGTATTTTTAAGTTGCTAAGACAAACGTTAGGCGGAATAATTCCATTCAGGGGAATTTATTTAATATCATAAAATACGATAACAGTTTAAGGATAAAAATCGTTAAACAAAAATATAAAATTTAGTAATAGTGACTTATGTACTCTTACGGTACACTTTTTAGAAGAACACTTAATTTAGGCAGTAATACAAAAGGTATAAATGAAATTATTTATAAGCCTGTTTGTTTAAGCACTTTTTTCTACTTTATGGCACACTCCATTTTTTTTGCCATATTTAATGATATCGGTGTTTGTGCATAATTAATTTTAATTGATAATAACTTTACGAACTGCCATACAAATATTACAGCCATATTTCTTTCTCTTTCCAAACCATCATCTTTTAATCAATTATTTCTTTTCTATTGAGCCAGTGAAAATTGCAGAAGGACAGTTGATTGAAGGAAAAATACAGTGTTTAATGATGTCAAATTCAAATACTCACAATTTTGTATATGCCGTCTTGGTAACACCCCATTACTTTTCTTGTACGACGCTATACAATTATGGATCTTTTTAGATAACCCTTTGTAAAGCTGTTTGAATATCTAATATTGAGTTATCTACACGATATAATGAATGGAGAAGGTTGCAATTATAGCACTTCGGCCGGAAGGTCGCTACAATCTGTCTAGGTCGTCAAAGAAAATACACCACAACCTTGGTGTACAAATAACTCTCATGTTATTGACTTCGGTATTATTAATGGAAATGATATAAACAAATGTAAGGCAGAAACTTGCTTCGACTTGTCATCATCCGTCTGAGTTATTCAAAGTGGGTGAAAAAAGATTCTACATAACACAAATTATTATGATTCATTAATCAGGAAAAAAGCCAGAAGAGATCACTTCTGCAACAAGCTTATGGATCACCGTATAGACTTGTTACCTATGTTCTTCAAGGTCGAGGCACTTTCTTGTGAAACAAGGTAGTTAATATTCCTCAAGGTAACGTTCTCGGCCCAGTAACAAATGTTTTAACAAAAGGAGGTAACATTTTAAATAAGTCTGGGAAGTACTGATTTATTGCATCTGACCTATCAGACAACTATCAGATTGTAACAACGAATGCCAAAAACCAAAAGTACCTCTGTATGCTGATGACGCAGTACTGAGTGGATGAAAACGTGATGGACAGAGTCCATGAAGTTAAAGCCAAATATGCCATCTTTACATTGCTTTGAAACTTGTACTTCTATGATCATCAATAAACGAGATCACAGGCAGTATAAATTATTATTATTAAGATGCCAAAAAACTTGGTATGCACCTCGATGGATGCCTCGATATGGGAAAAACATATTTTTCTTCAAAGGCAAGCAACTACGTAAAGTTTAGTGTAATAAGGTTTGCATCATACTTAAACATAAAACTATAATTGTAAATATTTTTAGGATTAAGATAAAATAAATACCTGTTAATTTATTCAATTGATTAGTTGGATGTTATTTAACACAAAATACATTAGCAGAATAAAAAATGTGATCTTTACTTAATTTTATCACCAATTTAAATAAAAACATACAATTTGACAGAAAAAAATATTTGCCTCCTGTGAGGATTGAACTCACGACCCCTGGTTTACAAGACCAGTGCTCTGCCACTGAGCTAAAGAGGCTCATATTTTTTGCTTTTGTCATTTTAAAGTTCGAATAGAATATGTTCTTGATATTTTTATTAACGATAAAAATTGATTGATTAAATATTAACTTACCGAATCGTGTTCGCTCGCATCATGAGATAAAGCCTCTCGACTATGATTGCTTTCTAAAATATCGACAGGTTCTAAAACTGGTTCAGTTGAATCTTGTTGAATTTGCTGATTTTGCTGAATTCTTCCATTACTTACTGATATACTTGTGCTACTACTATATTCAATTTCAGTTGTGTCTTCGGAATACTAAGAAAATTAAAAATTTTGAAATTTATTGCAAATGAATCATTTCTAATCACTTACAACTGGCACAATTTTTGTGATTATTATTAAAGATGATGATAAAATGATAAAACTCCACCTGAAAATGAAAAGAAACAATTATTGAAATATTTCGTTAAAGATATAAACCTACCGATTAATTCCTTTTAATAACATTTTTGAAACCATAAAATTTCTTCTTTTCACTCTCACAAAACGTTCATTTAATTTATTCTTACTCAAAAAATACAACGTCCGATTTCCACATGGATTTTATGTAACAACACACGAAATTAACAAACTCTTTAAACTTTTTTAATCTCACCTAAGTATTTTCTTCTTTAATCAACAATAATTTAAATTCATTTTGTTTTTGTTTCACTTTTACTTTTAATTAGCACTTTAACACGAAATCATCGCTTTTAAGAGAGCAAACCATATCATTGTGAAGTACTTCGTACACGAAATTCGAATGAGGAATTGAACACTTTAAGATTGAGTTAGATATAAGAAATGGTAACTTAAAAGTGGGAGGAAGCTTTCTAGGTGGTGCTTACTAACGCGAAATCGACGAGAGTCTGGTAGGATCTTTCAAATTGCACCGGAATACATAAGCTTCTCCCACCACTTGTTGTTGTTAGTTCTTGTATGTTGTTAGATGCTTAAAATAAGATCAAAAAATGGTTTTACAGGAGATTTATTGGAGTTAAACGATTAATTCGAAATTATATACTTTTTTATATCTGTTTTTAAACATTTTTTTAATGAAAGTAAAAATAACTTTCAATTCATTTTAAAATTCATCTTACGTAGATAATCTAATGATAATTTCATGTTAATCCCAACATAACTAACCAAAGAAATAACAAGGATAATAAACTTTCAACTTTAACTTCTTAATACATGTCACGTACCCACATAAGATCTAAAAAATCTTTGCAACATTCTCGTTACAAACTCACTCCGGACCAGATGGAAGATGTTCCCAGGCTCAGGGACGCGTTCCCAACTCAAAATGAAATTTAAACATCCTCTCAAGGAAAATGGGTCAGAAGAAGCAACCAAGAAACAATATCTTGTTCGTCGCCCGGACTTAGCTATTGTCACGGTGTAAATCAGATTCAACCGTGGGTTAACCTGTAAATCGTTTGTTCCGAAAGACCTACATCCAACAAACTCCGGGGGGCTATTCATTTACTACTTTTTTTTATACGAGATAAAACACCTCTTCTTCTTGTAGCAAAAGATTTATTTTACCGCAACTTAAATCCGTTATTGGTGTGTATGTGTGACAAATCTAATTCTGATGTAATTAAGTTCAAAGTAAAACAGGTGCTGAGTTGATGATGTTGAATAGATTAAAATGAATAGAGGCTTGTTTTGATATGCATCGAATCAATCGAATGATAATTAGAAAAATTTAATTTATTTTGTAATTTTATTTCAAGTATATTATGATTTATTTCAGACTTTTGATCGAGTTGATTTATTACAGTATGTCTATTACAGTATGTAACCAGCAACTTTCTAGTTGTAGGTCTAGTGTTAGTTCTAGTGCTAGTGTTAGCTCTGGTTTTAGTTGTTACTTTGTTTAGCGTTAAATTGTTATATATTTTTATCGAACTAAAACAAGAACTAACACTAGACTTAAAACTAGAAAATCTGAAGACGCACGGCTAAACCGGAATGTTTCTAGTTGTAGGTGTAGTGTTAGTTCTAGTTTTGCACTTGTACTATCACTAGAACTACAATCATTCTTGAGTGACGTGCGGCTAAACCCGAATGATTTGAGTTCTAAGTCTTGTGTTAGTTGTAGCCATAGTTAGTGCAAAATTAGAACTAACACTAGACCTAGAACTAGAAAGTTATGTAATTGTTATTTAGCGTTAGATTGTTATTTATTTTCAATTTCATTTCAAAATTGGGTTGGAAATCTCTGAGTAGATGTGCTGTCTTAGATCGTGTAGGTTGGGAAGTGACGGATCATTACTTCAAAACATAACTTTTTATGGTGGTTCTTCATTCTCCCCTGGAAAATATTAGACACAGGTGTTTGTAGCAATTATCACCTTTAACTGTTGTCGATCGTACTCTTCATCGTAAACCCTCATTCTTCCGATTTCAACAGCCGCGATGTAATATCTAGTTCGGAATTCGAGGGGTCGGCTTTCCTTCAAGATATGTATTGCGAATTAAGACAGACATAGGGATTAACAGTCAATAATTGGCTTTATTGCTAGATACTATTATATCAGGTGATATTTCTCTAATCACTGCCGACAGCTGCTCTCTCACCTGTGACCATGTTAGGCAGCGAAAAAAGATATGAAAAATCCCAAATATCCATATCGATACAATGGGCTGTCGATCGTATTCAAGTATTTTTAAAAATACCAGATGCTGGTGAGCAGCTGAGTACATAGCAATTTGTTTTACCTTGTTTTCTGGCACTCTACGCTGCGATGTCAGATATACACGATTCTGTCCTTCGTCCCCACCACTCTGGAAATTTACTTCCCTACTCGGGCAAACTTGAAACATGTGTTTTCTTCAGGTCTAAGTCTGGTTTTTCGACTACACTTTTATTCCAACGATTCCAAGTCGTTTTATATAATATAGTCTACCTCGTATACTCCAGCCTGTTATAAAATATCACTATCCTTGCGGTATTATTGTAAGTGTAGCGAAAGTAACTTCGCTGTTGATTACCATATCCATATAATTAGTAGCTGCACTGGTAACAGTATTGGTGATTACCAAGCAGGAGATTTTTTCCTCAATCCCGTTAGCAGTTTGAAGGATAATTATTATTCTCAGGAAGGATTGTGGGCAATAAAATCACAATTAATTGATTCATCAATATTTCGTATCTATTTTCGACGCTTCCTCAGGGTGAGTTCAAAATTTTTTGTACAAAGTAGCTTGTCTTTTACTGCAGGACTATAAATGAACACTATAAATCCTGGAATCCTCTACCGGACACTAGAATCATCAAGTTGATACTGTCATCATCCACTAGATACTGAAATCAAGCAGTAAATACTGGATTTAATCGCTATATCTAACTTAGAACCCAACAAATGAGTACTATAGACATCTATTGAATACTGGAATAATCTACTAGATATTGGAATCAATCATTATACTCTGGTTCTAATCACTATGAAAACTGTATGTATCTTCTGAATATTATAATCACTTACTATAAATACTGCACCCAACAACTGGACTTCTTCGTTTTTCTTCTAAGGAGGGATGTTTCGAGTGCTTTTAGAAACAATGCTTCTGCAATTTACTAATGTCAAAACGGATTAAAATAAATAAAGGTTACTCACCGTTTTATGTGGGAAAGAAATTAGAGTAAACATAATAAGAAGAGTCGCTACTATCACCATCCACTAGATACTGGAATCAAGTACTATATACTGGATTTAATTGCAATTTAATTTTATCTTGGAAGCCAACAAATGGGTATTAGAGACATCTATTGAATACTGGAATAATCTACTAGATACTGGAATCAATGTACCTTCTATATACTATTCTCTTGTATGTACCTTCTGGACATTAGAATCACTTACTATAAATACTGCATCCAACAACTGCATACTGGATACTGGAAAAAGAATTTAAACAAATCGCTATTGCATTTTTATGCTGGTTTTTCTTTTGACTGCATTTTAATTCTACAGTTTAAAATAGTCTACGATTGGGGAAGAAAGCGTGATCCATCTAAACAATAAGTAACACGCAGAGTTGAGCTACTTGCAGTAAAAATGTACTGCAAGTAAAGTATTCAGTACTTTTTTACTTTAAGTAGTTTACTGCCAGTACTTTCAAATTGTAGGTACTTAATACTTGTACTTTCAGTATTTAGCTTAAAATGTACTGGATACTTGTTACTTGTTTGGCATAAGAAGTACTTGAGGAACTATTTGTTTACTCCAAGTTTTCTTTCAATAGTAAGTAAAACAACAATTTTTTAAAGTTTTTTTATACCTAACATTTATCATCATACGTATATTAGTTATATACTTAACAGTGATAGTTTATACTTTATCATTAACCATTCACTACATAGTGTTCGATTTATTCCTAATTCCCATCCCATCTCTTTACTATTTCAAAATTAAAATTATGCAAAATAATTCGCAGTTTGTATTTTTGATGTTTCGATAAGTTTTGATAGCTGCGGTGTTAAAAACATGTTTAACCTTGTAACCTTGCAGGCTGTGCAGGTCCCATAGATCTATAGATTCTCCCAGATCTCATAAACGAATTATGTGGTTTACTTACCCTACTTCACACAATTTCAAATGCTTCGATAGTACCGTGCTAATACGGTGCAACGAAGCATAAAGTTTGGTTGGTTTGTATATTAATTATACTTTCTTGGTTTTACATTACCACTACATTTATTTACTGCAGGTAATTTATGTACTGGAAGTAGTTTTAAGCTATTTAGAGTACATTTATTTACTCTAAATAACTAAAATAATTGGAGTACTTAAACGAGTAATTACTTAGTACTGGGTACTTGAAATTTTAGTTTCAAGTAAAATTCCTTATTACTCCAAGTACTTTTTAAAAATACTTGTTACTTATTACTTGGAGTAAAAATAATTTATAGCGCTACTTGTACTGGTTACTGGGAGTACTTTTCTTTTGTACTTTTAATAGCTGTGGTGACACGAAATGATGCAAAAAACGAAAACATACATTGCTAGTCAACAGTGCTTTTGAAACGAATTATGCTCATTGCAAAGAAGAAACGACAGATTTCTTTAACAGATAGGTACCTTAACTCCCTGGAAGAATCTGAACATCAACTAATAGAAATTACTAATTGTCGCATTGCACGTAATGGTGAAGTTTATACGATTGGAGAGACGCTTATTAAGCCTTGTGTGTTCCATATGATTAATGAAGAGATCACATATACTTAACATTACATATATACTTAATTATGCCCTTAATAGCAATAACAGTTTTAGCGAAAATGATTTCTTTTAAGAAAAATCTCACTTCTCCTTTGAGTTGGAAAGTTAATCGCCTTAAAGGTTCAAGTAAAGTCACCACCGCTAGTTTCGCCCATCCTAATAGCCTTAACCGTAATGAAACAATGAATGGTTCCGGTTACAGTTAGTCGTGAAGTGGTAAAGTTAAGAGAAGAGACTCTCCGTAACACTAATTACGGTGTCATCCCGGTAGAGTCGATTCTTAAAACGTCCCACAACATTACTGAGGTTTTAAGTGAGGCTAAAGTCGGAAGAGAGTTGGTTTTCGCTTGTTGAAGTCAATTGCGCTTGCGCTCGAAATTGGATTAAATACGGGTCCCAATCGAGGTGGGAACGACTGCGTAAAGAAAATTGGTCCGACGCAACGGGTTTCTTAGTTTTTCTTCTAAGGAGGGATCTTTTAGAAACAATGCTTCCGCAATTTACTAATGTCAAAACGGATTAAAATAAATAAAGGTTGCTCACCTTTTTATGTGGGAAAGAAATTAGAGTAAACATAATAATAAGAGTGAGTTAATTGTAATTAAAGAAGGTATCTATTGAAAAAATTAAGGTGGGATTT